GATGTGAACGGCACGCGCTTCGTTATGCGACGCACCATTTCCAGTACATCCTATAATGCACAGTATCAAATGCGCACCTGCAGCATTTCGCTTATAACCACTACAAACAGCACTCGAACACACCTGTTTTGTGCAACTCCGAAATGCAGCATCAATGCTCATATATTATTCGGATGCGTTCTACAAGGGATTCGGATGTAGGCCTATTGCTGCCAGCTTCCTATTTAGAAGCTGGTAGCAGTTTTGCCAATCTACCATCGAAACGAATGAACGAAACAATCATATGAGGGAATGACTGTTCCTCTACAGGACTCGGCCCCACCGACCTTGACATGAAAGCAGTGCTACTTAACTTGCGCCATGCTAAACAATATACACAGAGTGCTCTATGATTAAAGACAGTACATATATGGTATGCTTTGGAAACTGCATTTGTAAACTTTCACCAAAATTCAAACGCATCTACTCAAAGACACAGCTGAACTGTCATTACCAATAAATCTAATAAAGAATGTTTGATGACGAATTCATAAATGGCACATCGGATCAGCTGCGCCTTCCTTTCTTCGCGTTTGCTCAAAAAAAGAAGCTGCTGGGTTTGCAAAATGTTTTTTTCTTCTTTTTTGAATGGAACTCAAGTTAGTTAAGACCAGGAGAAAGATGGAGGTTGTAAACTTTATTCGCAGTTTAAATATAACGTAATTCAAAAAGTCTGGTTTATAAATTGGATAATAAATGTATTATAAAAAGTAGAGTCGACGATTCTGCCCATTAACTGACCCCCGTTTCCCAACGCCAGCTTCAGCTCTCCCTTATCCAATGTCTTTCTTTGTTTTTCTTCACAGGAGACACATAAGTACACTAGAACACATTATTATGAGAGAAGAGACAAACCCACAGGCTTCACTCAACTGATTTCATGGGTTTTTAAATATCGAAAGGTCGGTGTAGGAACCTTGATACCTCGACGCAGTGGCAGTAACACGACGAGAGGACGTCCCAGACTCGACAGCAATGAATGCAGTAAGCACAAATGTTCAAGGATTCAGGGCAAGAACTGCACTCCAAGAATTATACGTTAACGTGAGACTTATCTGGCTTATCTTTGATATCCAGGCATTTATATAATAACAGGCAACTTCCAGCTTCCTACAGTTTCGACTGCTGTTCGCGCATCCTACACATACTGCCATTTCTAATGGAGATTAGTTGTAGCTTGAAGGTGACAAGTAAATACCTTCTCTGGGATGTCTCTTCCTGGCAAAGCAGCAATTCCAGTCATGAAATCGTTGGTGATAAAAGGACGGAGCACGAATGATCGTAAAGTTGATGCGATTCCCTCCATCGGATCTCTGTCGAAATGAACAGGAATCATTATAACTGGCATCTGCAATGCAACAACAGTTGAAAGCAATGAAGCAGCGTAGCTTAAAAGCGAAAATACGTATCTGAATGTAAAACTTAGTCAAAAGCACACCGGTTGCCGGTGCGAAGATGCGTTTTTTGCGCAATTCCCCCGCAAGTTTTTGTTGCTAT